GTCCTCAGCTCAGCGTCCAGTAAGAATTCCGGCGATTCTCGACTTCAATTGAAAGATATTAGCTCGCCAGTAGGTGACCGTTGTGTGTTAGGCGTGCGTTTGAGTTTGTCTCCGGCTGCTGAGAGCAGCGATGGAATGGTTAGTTAGTCAGGAGGGGATCGTTCGGGCAACATTCAGCCCAGCCAGTGTCACGCATGGCAAAATACACGGTTAAAATACACATGTTCACCCTATTGAGACCAGTTGTTATGGTGGAAACTTTGGCCGCTTTGCGGGACGGGAAAATATCATCAGATCGGAATGAAATTTTGCACAGAACCTTGTACCATAGTATCGACAAGAATTCCGACCCGGCCCGACGAATCCGACAAACTTTTTTTTTTGCCATGAAAATGTGGACCACCCTAATGTCCATGAATGGATGTGATTTATTGTTTTTGGTTGTGTTACGGTATCAAATTGACCATATTTTGGAGTTTCACTTTTGAGCTTGTTCTAGCTTGTCCGTCTTGATTTTTCGAAGCATGATTTTATATCCTTTGGCCTGATATGTTTCTTTTTTTGTGGTTGCCGCAACCCCCCACCACTACCACCCAATTATGATGATGTTTGTTTTACTTACTTTTTATTTTTTATTTTGCCTTTTGTAAGTTTTGCTTGCCTTTTGTCAAATTGTTATTGTATTGTATGTTCAAATAAACTTCAACTTCAACACTTATTGTGGAGGAAGGTGCCACATTGGGAAACAGCAACATACCATCGCGATACCATTCCGAAGTGGAATATACATCTGCACCTCTCATCCCATCGGCAAAATGGCTGCTGGTCTCCAAAAACATGCACTCGTATCAACCGGTCTGTGGCAGAAAAAATGGTTGGGAATGATTGCCCTTATGTATTTTCGATCACCTTGTTTTTTCCAGGTTAAAGGCAAGAAGCCACTCTTTGTGCAGCTTGTCCTGGATAACATTTGGAGTTTATATGATGCTGTTGTTACTCGCAGGTGGGTCATAAATTATAGTTGGAAATACTGAAAATCAACCGGCCTTACTTACTTTGTATTTGCATGTTGTACACATTATATTATCCATGCCAAGCTTTCAGTCTTTTCATTAACAGAGACAAGGAGAAGGTTGAGAAGGTGCTGGCATCTCTTGACGTCAAGGTGATGGCCAGGGATTCTCGTCACTCTGACCCTAAAGTCCTCCTGTCTGCTATATGCAGCCAGTGGTTACCAGTGTCTCAGGCTGTCCTATGTATCCTTTTTACCAAATAATTTATATAATTGTTGTTCAGCTTGTCAATTATATTAGTTGAGATTTTCTTTGACACTGGCTGTAGCAATGGTCTGTAATAAGCTTCCGAGTCCATTACACATAGCAGCAGAGAGGGTGGAGAAGTTGATGAGTGTTGGAGTGCGTCGATTTGACACCTTGCCTGAGAGGACGCAGGAACTGAAAAATGGTATGAATTGGAACATCTTGGGGGGGGTTTGTATTGTCTTTTTTTATTTTTTTTTCACATCACACTCAAGGTGTTACTCAGTGGCGTTTCTAGAAAGTTTTATCAGGGCTAGCAGGAGGTTCCGTTTGGGGCTGGAGGTGGGGACGTCAGAGGTTATTGGCAGCGAGCATGATGTTTGCTTCAACATAGCGACTGGTCATCGATACTCTTTGCCATGTTTTCCTCTATATTTCATACTTTATCCATTGTCCGACAGCAGAAACAGAAAGTATATAAAAGAGAAAAACCTCATTCGGAATTCAGCTCAATTAAAACCCTGCGTATATGCATAGAGACTAGAGTCATGACTTTTCATGCAGTTTTTAGTTGGGGTTATCCCCCTGGGCTCATCAATTTGCCTGTGGCAGCGCCATGGGTGCAAGCATGGGCTTTGGCCTCTCTCCAACTCATCAGCAACTCATTCATCAGTCAGCTGTGTTCCATTGCCTTGATTTGTTTCACAATGAAAGTCATTTAAATGTCAACATCCAAGTAAGATCAGATACTGTATTGTGACATTCGCACACAAATCCCTCTCTTGAACGGCTCTGCTGTGAACGATGAGAATTGATTTGCACCTGTGAGAGAGCCTTTTTATGGAGCCCATTTGGTATGGTATTTGGTAACATAAAAGCAATCTGGTTAAATGGTAGAAAATATCACTTCTCCAAAGCATGAGGATGGAATTTATTCGTGTATTAGTGTACTGTAGCAGATAGGGAAACGCCCCACAAAAGTTCTTGAAAAGTCCTGGAAAAGATCACTGTAAATGGTTAGTATTCAAAATATTAAATGTTTAAAAAAAAAGTGTTGATTTCATCATTTATTTCTGAAACTTGTGGCATCAGTGAACTATAAGTGCCCCGACCCACTCACATAGCGGCCACCAAGCCACTGTTGATGTACTGTACAACCCTGTGTATGTATAATGGTTTATATTTTTTTATGCTTCTTTGGGTATTTTTCAGCATTTCTCCAGTGCTCAAGCAATGAAAATGCTCCGGTTATAGTTTTTGTATCCAAGATGTTTGCTGTGGACACAAAAGCCTTGCCTGAGAACAAACAAAGGTAAGTATGAATTGCAAGTGAAGTTACATTTGCATATGATTTTTACCCAGTTAAATGCAATGTGGAAAGGAAAAAACGTTTTGCCTTTTTCAAACCAATTTCTACCACCCCACAACCACCACCCAAAAAAAAAGAAGAAAAAAAAAGAAAAATTGTAGATGGCTTCGAGAAAAATTATGGTCCACCATCCAGCGGCCCAGGAGGGGAAAGCAGTGCAGCCTCAAAATTGTTTTTAGTGAGGATGAGGCGCTGCTGTCCTTGATTCGGCATGTTGCTAATCGATGGGAGAATACTTTGAAGGGCTCCTAAATTCCACCAACACGCCTTCTCAAGAGGAAGCAGAGTCTGGAGACTCTGAGGTGGGCTCTCCTTTTCCCGGGGTTGAGGTTACCATGGTGGTTGAAAAGCTCCTTTGCGGCAACTCCAAGAAGGTGGATGAGAGCTGGAAGGCTCTGAATGTTGTTGGGCTGTCCTAGCTGAGATGCCTCTACAAGATCATGTAGACATCAGGGACGGTGTCTGTGGATTGCTATATGGGACGGTGGCCCCCCTTTTTAAGAATGAGGACTGGAGGTTTTGTTCCAAGTACAGGGGATCACACTCCTCAGCCTCCCCGGTAAGGTATGGTTACGGGTGCTAGAGAGGAGGTCCATCAGAAGGTCAAATCTCAGATTCAGGAGGACCAAAGCAGCACAAAGCACAAGCGGCTGAAATGAGATTCTTCTGCAGGGCGTCCAGGCTCTCCCTTAGAGAAAACTTGGGAAGCTCGGTCATCCAAGAGGAACTCAGAAAGTCGTGACACTACTCCTCCACATTGAGAGCAGCCATACGAGGTCGCTCAGGCATCTGATTTGGATGCATCCTGGACGCCTCGCTGGTGAAGTGTTCTGGGCATGTCCCACTGGCAGAAGGCCCAGGGGTGACCCAGGACATGCTGAAGAGTATGTCACTTAACCAGATGTGTGAACAAGTAAGCAAAAGGAAAAAGACCCTTCATTAATTGCTGAAAAAATAAAAATGACTGGCAGGATGTGCCATGACTTCCGCATTTTTCTCTTTTACATATAAATTAAAACGTAACTAAACCAAAGTTGTTTCTTCATGTTTAACCTGAACCAGTTTTCATCTCCCACTCTGAAAGGGTGAAAGGGCCATTTAATTGTGTTGAACATTGGCACTTATATAATAGGTCTCTGTAAAAATGTCAGCTCTACCCCCGCCCCACGCCCACCAACACCACCAGAAAAACTCTGGAAAATTAGTTATTTAATGCTTGGTTTACAACATTCAGGGCATCTTAATTATACCACTTTTTTATTTTAATTATTTTTTTTAATGGGCGTGTTTGTCCCTCCCCCCAGCCCCCCAAATTTATATGTGAGAGGAAGTTGGGATTATTTTCTTTATTTACTGGCTGCGACTGCTCACTTGTTTAGTTATTTTACATTTTACATTTATTTACAGTAATTTTGTACTGTAGTAAGTGTACTTCAGCCATGAAAAAAACGTGCTTCAAAAAACTGAAAAAATGGCTTTAATAGCCAAACCCTCCTCTTCATTAGTCCGTTAAATCAAGGTTCCAATGTATTGGAAAAGCCGTCGATAAATGTGGGCGCAATAAACATTACAATAACTTTACTGATGTTGTACTTGGCTTTGAATACTCCATTTGTGTCTCCATGTAGACCCTTGACTCAGGAAGAGATTGCCCAGCGCAGGGAACTCGCGAGGCAAAGACATGCGGAAAGGATGGCAGCTGAACAGATTGCGACTGTAGGACAGCAAAACCACTCAGTGAATAATCCCGTGGATATTCAAGCAAGAGGACAATACAAAGGCAAGTTGAACACCTTGTCCACCTTTTTACTTCTGTTTTTTTCTCCATTTCAATTTCTGTGATGTATTTTTGACATTATTGACCATGCAAGTGTTTGTGGATGACCTTTTTGAATATGCAAGGCGTTTACAAATGATCTTTTTTTAATCGATTATCCCCTCGACTACTTTAGCAATCCACCCCCACACTTGCAGAATTCAAATAGTTTTCCCCTCCATGAAATTGTTTGACAGTGATAACTACACATAACACTTAAGTTTAGGTTGATGACTATTAACATGATTCTCTCTTAAAGGTTAACAATTATTTCCAATTAATTTTCATATAAACCAGTCTGGTGCTGTGCTCGTTTTCTCTCTGAGTCAAGTGCCTCTCGTGGGCATTTAGGCTGCTCCCATGGCCCAGAGTGGGCGCGAGGACTTAAAATTAATAGATAAATAAATTAATAAAAGATCTACTTGTGATCACGCTTGCTTGCCATTTATTTTTTGTTCACATTTACCACAATAATCGGATCACTTTACACTCCCTTTTATCACTGCTCAGCAGTTAGCAATAAGACACAAGCAGGACACTGTGCAAAGCTAAGTTAGCGACAATCCCGTAGAACAGAGGTCCTCAACCGCCGGTCCGCGGACCGGTACCGGTCCGCCAGGCATTTGGTACCGGGCCGCACAGAAAGAACTTGCCTTAATTCCGTTTTATTTATTTCGGAATACGAAATATGTTTTATTTTGAAAAACTACCGGATTCTCCGTTACATTCGTCTGTGTTACGCTTGACACACGTCAAGCCACGCTTCTCCTTCACGTGACCGATTACTTCAAAACAAAACGCAGGAGCTCGCAAAATGAGTAAAAAAAAAAAAAACTGCTGGGTTTCGGCAGCAACGGCGACGAAAACAAAATTACGAAGTAGACTGGACATAAACCACACACTTGAGGTGTCATTGTCTCCTATTAGCCCGAGATGGGACCGTCTGGTTGCAGAAAATCTAGCTCGCTGCTGTGGTGAGTCGTCATTTTCATGCACTTTGAATTTGCGTTGTATCGTATTTTGAAGGCATTAAACATTGCCATAGCGATCGGAGTGTTGCGGCCAGATTAGACGCTCCTTGTGTTTATTATTATATTTCGAAAACGCCACAGTTTTCATGCAGCTCATACCATATTATTTTGTTGTATTATTTCCGCCACACCTTGATTGCCGGTCCCTGAAAATATTGTCTGACATAAACCGGTCCGTGGGGCAAAAAAGGTTGGGGGCCCCTGCCGTAGAAGACATGCGGCCCCAGTAAAGTAGTGTTAATTCACTTAAAAAAACAAATTTAAACTGTGGTGGTGTTGTTACTTGTAACAGACGGCCGTCGAAGTACCTGCCGGTTTTTCATCATGCGGGCCACATGGTTCAAGTCTCGAATCTCTGCCATCGCCACTTTGCAGAAATACATAAAAAAGTATTTTAGTCAGTAAAACTACCCCAAACTCTAGCCGTCTTCATCAACATTTTGCGCTGGAAAAGAGCATCCACAGCTACAAATGTCCATGTGGAAACACATTGGTGGCCAAACATTGGTTCCTGGTGCCGTAAATGTTTTTCAAATTAATTCATTTTCGAGACAGCAATTTTTATGTCAACCAATTTTTGTGGTCTACTTATCTGAGTTAGCGTACTTTTGTTCCCAACCCAAGTCGAAAGACATTTTTGATCATTCGGACAGTCAGAAATTACTTCTTATCAGACAATGTGGTTGTACGTGAGCACAATATAATCTATCATCTTCAAATTGGTTAGATCTGTTTTTCAAAAGTTTTAGCTGTCCAAGTGAGAAAACTAGAAAGGTGATTAATTGGGTTGTGTTTGTTTATGCATCGGATTGACAAAAACGGCCTCTTTTCTGCCTAGAACATGGGGTCGGGAACCTATGGCTCGTGAGCCATATTTGGCTCTTTTGGTGATTGCATCTGGCTCGCAGATAAAAAAAATATATATTCTCGCTTGTTTATTAATGCATCAATCGATCGATTTTTCACTGCTCTTCTGGCTGCAGTTGGCTCCAGGAGCCATTTTGATTGGATGATACTGGCCAACGTTGCCGTTGCTGTGGAAACAGGTATACGCCCCCTTTTGAATCAACCCGCTCGGCCATGAGCTCAAAGCTAATCCTAAGCGAATAAGATGGCGAAAAGAAAAAAAAGATGACGAGTTTGGTAGACTTCAGGACGAATGGACCAAAGGTTTCGCCTTTGTGGAGAGAACGGGTTCTGCGGTGTGTCTAATTTGCAATGACAAAATACCATCGATGAAACGGTCGAATGCAGAGCGGCGCTTTGACACGCCCCATGCTACGTTCGCATCAAAATACCCTGCAAGAGATAGCAGAAAGGAAGCGTGCAAGCTACTGAGCAGTGTGCAAGCTAGCCAGCAGTAACTTCGCGTATGGACCCGGCAAGATGACTTTCATTCCTATAGTTTTGCTGGATTTTTAGCAGTCGTGAGGAACGGAAAACCATTCACCATTTTCACATTAATAGTGAGTAGTACAGCGATGGCAATTTTCCGCGGATACGCGGAAATCCGCCGTTTTATTTCTTAAATTGATCATTTTTGTGAATCATCTAAATCCGTTGAGAAAATTTTAGGGGGGGTCAGGTACCTTATCGTCGAGTTTTCACGAGCTCTCCCCGATCAGTCTCTCCGTTTTCCGTTTGTAAACAGACCTGCGATTGGACGTGTATGAAAGCTTCAACTAATCAGATCACTGAAGGCATTATTTGTTGCAGAAGTCTTAGCTTGATTATATACGGCCCAGCGATTGGTTAACTACAAGCGATTGGACCAATCAAATTGCATGTAACATCTGACGAAGGACTTTGTGGACTGGTGCCAGCAGAATCAACTCCAGATCAACCCTAGGAAAACTAAGGAGTTGGTTGTGGATTTCTGCAGGCAACAGTCCTCACCAGCACTGATGAACATCCAGGGTATGGACATAGAGAGGGTGACCTCCTACAAGTACCTGGGTGTTCTTCTCAACAACAAACTGGACTGGTCGACGAACACGGACACCCTGATTAGGAAAGGTCA